CGCTGATGACAGGCCGAATGGAAGTGCCCTGTATTGAAAATGGTGCCCCCTGTAGGCAAACCGTAGAAAGCGGCGGTGAGCCAGAGAGATAGGGATGTGCAAGTATGCCTCCGTGAGGTCGATCGATGCCAGAAAATCCCCTTTCCTTACGCTTCCAAGGATGGAGCGTAGTGTCTGCATTTTGAATTTGCGGTATTTTATGTAGAAATTTAGCCTTTTTAAATCCAAAACGGCTCTCCAACCCCCCGAGGGTTTGGGGACCACGAAGAGGATAGAATAAAACCCCTGGTCTCTCTGGTTGATAGGCACCGGCTCTACGGCCCGTATGTTTAGAAGGTGTTGAACGGCCTCGTTCATGAGCCTTCTCTTTGTTGGGTTTGTGGGACAGGGGCACGGGCGGAAGCGGTTCGGGGGCTTTGAGAGAAATTCTAGAGATAGACCATGACGTATGGTGTTCCTGACCCATACGTCCGTGGTGGTCTCTTCCCACTGGGGAGCAAACCCTGCTAGTCTGCCCCCTATGGGAAGGTCTGGGTGTGAGTCATCTGGTATGGCGGAAGGGGCAGTTGTTCCCCCAAAAGGGCCGTCTTCCCTGCGTTTGCCTATGTCTTGTATTCTGTCTGTCCCCCTCTTTCCCTATCCTGTCTAGTTTGGAAGGGTTGGGAATTTTGAAAGTAGTTGACCCTGGCTTCCGTACGAAAGGATTGTTTCCTTCCCCAGGAGCCGGGTCTCTTGTCCTGCCTTTTAAGCATGTGTTTAAGGACCTTGCGCTTGTCCTTGTTCTCTGTCAGGTATGGCGTTAGTGCCTCACCAAACAGCTTTGCCCCTTGGTACGGAGCCGAAGCCAATTTCCACTTGGATTTGGTATCCGCCTGCCAGTTCTTTAGCCAGAGGATGCGCCTGCTCGTGTTGTTTGCCGCCATTGCCTTGGCTGAAAACTTGGTTGCTAAAAGTGTCGCGTCCGACGCATATTCCGTGGCCGCTACCATTTTGCTGAGTTCCTGGTGAGTGCGTATATCCTCCATGGGAACCCGGCCCTGTAACTCACGGAGCCAACAAAGTGTGGCTCTGGTGAAAAAGGACGCGGAGGTAGTCGCCCTGGTAGCCCAAGCTATTGCCTGGTGCGTTCTCCTGTAGTTGGACTCACTCTTTCGGTCCTCGGCTTTAAGAGCCTCAGCAAAATCTCCTGATATGGCCGTGTCCGATATCAGGGGACCTATGGGTTCGTCCACCACCGGCACCTCCAATGTTCCCTCTAGCTCCCTTGCTACGTTAAATAGCTTCCTCTCCGCATTGCTAGGAAGCGGTAGGGAGGTTGGCGCTGCCCACTGTTTCCTTATTGTGTTTAGGAACATGGTCGGGCATGGTATGCGGTGTTGAGTGGTTACCTTTTCGGCGAACGTCGGCTCAGCCTCCGTGTCAACTGTGACAGGCTCCGCTGGTGTCCCATGCCCCAGATGGGCTGTGGCCTCAGCCTTGCGCAGAATAGTAACAAAAAGAGAAGGGTTAAACAGGCCGCTGAAGGACGGCCCTTGAGGTGAGGTGTCCTCCTCCTCCTCAGACATTTGAATCCCTTGTGACGTACCTGGCTGGTCCAGGTAAGCTTCCTCAGAGACCGACGAGTCTGAGATGGAGGAGAGGTCCTGATGGTCCTCCGTTTCCTCCCGATGCCTCGTTCTAAGTCCTAGAGGCTTGGCTTTTGAAGTTTGAGTCCTGGCCTCAAATGCACGGTCCACTGCCTGTGCTATTAGGGTAGCTAGCAGATCCCCCGTCAATGCAGGAGGAGTGACCATTGCCTGTGACCCTGCAGGTGCTGTGGTTAGCATGGTCCTCGGGGTTTCCTGTAACCTCCGTGGGGAGGGGGATCGGGAGAGCGATGAGAATTCGCCTATCCCACCCTCTGTTTGGGACTGTGATGAGTTCCCTAATGACCAAATGGCCTGTGGAGATGAAGGGAGACCCAGCGGTAGATCAGGACCTATTCCCCCATTCTGCCTATTTTCAATTCTGGCCCTTTTCTGGGCTCTGTCGAACTCTTTTTCTAGGGCTTGGTGTCTTCTGATTGCCTGTTTGTCAGCCTTCTTTGATGACTTCCTTGCAGCCTTTCTAGGGGCTGCAGAGGATTCCGAATCCTCTGAAGCGGGTGCTCCAGAGGATGAAGGCAGGGCTCCAGTGGAGGGAATGATTGCTTCCTCCATTCTCCACTAACGCCGGGCCGCGATAGGGGGGACCCAGGTAGTAGGAGAGCTCCAACTTTGAGTAAGGACAGGCGCACTACTGGGGGCGTCTGGAACTCAGGAGCAGACTCTGCAAAATTGTCAGAGTTAGTCACTGTGCACGGATAAGAACAGGCACGCTAATGGGAATGCCTGGAACCCGGCTTGACTATGGTGGGTAAGGACAGGCACGCGACTGGGGATGCCTGGAACCCACCACTAAATCCAGAAGCGTACGGGCCACTAATGGGGGACCCGAAGTCCGGAAGGAGCCAAAGGCAACTAAACACAGTTAGTTATGAAAGGTTCTTATTTACTTTAGGTAGAAGACATCAAGTCCTGGAACCAGCAGCTATGTGTCTGATTTGAATGTCTCTGAATGAATAATAGATGCTTTAGTACCCCAGTACTGCTTGCCTATTAATTCACTCCAGCGGCTGAACCTAGCTTTCTCAGGGAGCCTTAGATCCCCTGTTTGGACAAAAATATGGCCGCCGCTGCCAGGAGACTACTGCGCATGTGTTAAAAGGAGCAGGAGATTATTGCGCCTGTGCTAAAAGGGCTGCCTGTGCCACGTGTGGTTGTAACAAAGAGCCGCGCGTGTTCCCAGCTGTGCAGACAATGGCGCCTCGTTTAAAAAATCCTGAGCAGCCTGGTGAGTGAAAGAGACTGCTCCTTCGCACGCCAGCTGTTTCCCTTAATCAATCTCCCTCCCAGCATGCGTCCCCTTTGTCCTCCGCTTCCCTCGCTAATTGCTTGCCTTTCTGTTTTTTTTGTTTTGTTTGTCTTAAACGCAAGGGGTTGCCCGAGCCTCCCCGTTTGTTTAAGGCGGCTGCCGGCTGCTGGAAGGTGGTTGGGGTTTGGGTTAGGGAGGGGAGTTAGGGATTTCCCCCTTTTAAGTGGGGGTGGTTTCCCCTGTAGGGAATCTGACTTCCTGAGTCTTACAATTTATCCCGGAAATTTTGAGTAATCAATTAAATTGAATTAAATTATCTCTAATTAACTTTTAAACTAAGCAATTTCAGCTACTAGAAGAAATCCCCCCCAATGGAAAGGAACTATACCTGCCCAGGAGCCAAAGTTGTAGGTCTGTCTGCATGGCCAGATCAGTCAAGACTGGAGAATCATGGTCCAGGACAGGGCGTGGCAACTTTGGCTGACTGATCTGATTGGCCAGGAATACAGTCTCAACCCACTGCATGGATTATCCATCTCCAGTGCTGGAGAACTGTTGTTTTTCTTCTTTGTTGTTATTGTGCTAGACTGGGCTTTTATTATTTCACTTTTCAAAATTTCCCAAGCTTCTTGAGTTGTTTTCCCCTTGAGGATTCTCATCCATGGAATCCTTCCCAAGCTCTCTCTAAGTTTATTGAAATTAGCTCTCTCAAAGTCCAAGACTCTAATTTGACTGTGTTCTATTGCTTGTGCCTCCATAATGTTGAATTCCAATACTGCATGATCACTCCCCCCCCAAGGTTCCTGTGGCTTCAACATCTTCCATCATTTCATCCCTGTTAGTGAAGATTAGATCCAATATGGCTAATCCCCTAGTTACCTTCTCTACTTTTTGGGAGGTAAAGTTGTCTGCTAGATTTATCAGGAATCTGTTTGATCTTCCATTTGGTGCAGAGTTTGTCTCCCAGTTCATGTCAGGGTTATTGAAGTCCCCCATTACTATTGTGATGTGCTTCCTATATACCTTAGTTAACTGACTAGCAAAAAGTTCATCTATTTCCTGTTTGGTTGGGTGGCCTATAGTATACACCTATGGCAATGTCATTTTTCCCCTTTTATATTATACATGTTGCCATCCGATTACAGGATCATAAACTCAATGTGCTTGAAGGGCAATACTGTATTCAGAGTGTACCAAAAGCTAGACTGCCTAGAAAATGTATTATATAAATTATGTTAAATGTTCAAATTGGTTGCCATTTTTTTTTAAACGTTTATTTGCTTGACACATGACTGTTGAACATTCCTGTAAGTGCACTGACATTTTCTCTGAAAAGATATGAAGTAATAAAATTAATAAAACCTATTGTAATTGGCCTATAGGGCCTGACTTTGGGAAACACCCTGTATGCAATATATACTCAGTGGCCACATTCTCAGGTGATATCTAAATTTGAAAGATCTTATGAGGTTTGGAGCATTTTTTACTTTTTCTATTTAATTTTTAGAAGACATACAGTACTTACATACATACACACTCTTTTGCAACAATGCCCAATCCGTGATAGCTGGGAGAGCTATAGGAGAACGAAGAGTTTCTGTGTCACCTAATTAGCCATTTCAATGGAGCACAAATCTGGTCATGATAAACTACATTCTTGTTGAGACTTGCTCTAGCAATTTCCCTCTTGCCCAGACTTTAATTAAGCTGTTCCTGACTGGAATATATATACTGCAAATTATGGAGACTTTTTATGTTCTACAGCAGGGGTCCTCAACCTTGGCAACTTTAAGACTTGTGGACTTCAACTTCCAGAATTCTTCAGCCAGAAGTTAAAGTCCACAAATCTTAAAGTTGCCAAGTTTCAAGACCCCTGACCTATACTTATGTTTTGGTAAATGGCATGCTCTATTGGGCTGGAGAATTTTTTTATGGTGCTACTAATATTACATTTTTTTTCTTACAGCTTTATGTGGCTTTAGGATCACTATGACCCAAGGGGGAATCATCAGATCTCACCATATTGGAAGGAACAATACTGGATTTGTTTTAAGAAACCATCTTCATTAACAATTTTAGTAGCAAATCACAAGAGCGATAACCCTTACCTGAGCCATCAGGAATAGACCTTACAAAGGTAGGCAGCATCTTTACACTGGCTGTTGGGTTAAAATCCCTAGAGAGGCCATTCTTCATTTCATTCCTGAAGCGACCCATAATATCCAGCAAAGTTTCATCCGACAGCCGCATGGCATATAGATATTTATCAATCTATATCGGAGGCAGAGAGAAACACAAAAGATTCAGACCTTGTATAATTTTGTTTCTGAATATAAGGTGGCTTAATCTTTTAAAAATGCTGAAGTATGGAATGGTCCAGCAAAAATGCTTAAGAGCAGGTAATATTAATTATTAATCTCCCATCAATTAAACATTTATGCCCCACCCTAGGAAAATAAACACAACATACAAACAAGACCACCTTGCTTTCAGTTCAGGAGCTCAAAATTATTCTGTTTGTAGATCTATCCTGATAGAGCAGGGGTGTCAAACTCGCCGCATCACGTGACGTGTCGTGATGTATCGTGGCTTTTTTCCCCTTGCCAGAGCTGGAGTGGGCGCGGCTTCTGCATGATGGATCTGGCCTGTGGGCCAGCAGTTTGACACCCCTGAGATAGAGGGATGACAAAATAGACAGGTTCTCAGCTTAACGTAAACAAAAGAAGGCATCTCTTTATTAGTTCTAAGAAGTTCAGATTTCACTATCAACACCACCTTAAACTGAGTCCAGAAAACAAGAAGTCAGGCAAAAAACATGACCAGTGGTTTATCCCCAATCAGAAGACAAAATTGAACACAATGATCTATTTGAATTTTTTTTTACAGACATTTCAAAGTAAAGCCAGACGAGGGGTTCGTATCAGTAACCATACAGGTGACCAAACTCAATTTTACAACCTTTATACTAGGGGTCTTCAAACATGGCTCTTTTATGACTTTGGACTTCAGCTCCCAGAATTCCTCAGCCTGCATGCCTGGCTGAGGAATTCTGGGAGTTGAAGTCCACAAGTCATAAAAGGGCCAAGTTTGAAGACTCCTACTTTATACAGTAGTCATGAAACAAGTTGCCACAGTTTTTAAGTGAATCACATAGTTGTTAAGCAAATCCATTCTTCCAAATGGACATTTTTTGCTGGAAACCAGCAAAAAACATAGGAAATCAGAAAAATAATGCAAATCAGTCATGTGATTGCAGGATGCTGCAATCCATCATAAATGTGAACTGGAAGCCAAGCATCTGAAATGAGATCATGGGGAGGGAGCATTTATAACTCCAAGAACAGGTTGGAAATAACTTTTTAAAGTCTGCCATAACTTTGGTCGTAAGTTGGGACTAATTTTCCAGGTACCAACATCACCATGTCTTAATTCTTGCTAATCTAACCTTTCCCATAACAAATATGTAAGGGACACGTGTTTCCTGGGCAATGGACAAGTGTGAAAATATCTCCTACACTCATGTGTAAAGGTATCCTGTTTCATGGAGAGATCTGGAATTATAAATTACATAATGAAAAGTAGTTCCCCCTAAATGATTTATACTTCATTCCTCACAAGCATTTTGGATTTCAACTCACATCAATCTCAAGTGACAAGACAGATGACAAGCTTTGTCAGAGTATAGGATGACTCAAAATATCTGGAGGGAACCAAACAGCATATCCTTCATACAGTAGATACAATTAAGCAGGTAAAAGTAATAAAAGGTAGCATTCTATGTAGTCCAACTGCTAGAAATGAAGAAAGTCCCATTAATGCTATTTGCTATTAATACAATAGTTCTCTAAAACACAGTAATTCTAGATTCCATTTTAATCTTGACAAAGCATATTAATGTTCTAATCTTTCTTAATTTTTTAAATAAATCTAATGGTTTCAGCTGACATTTATCAGCATTTTTTAAATTTTCTTCTATCCATCATCATGGTCCACAGGAACAAAATTGGTCTTGATGTTGCACCTTCCAAAGAATATTGAATCCCTCTCCTTAACTGTTTGGCTAGCCCAGGGGTAGGCAACCTTGGCTCTTTTATGACTCGTGGACTTCAACTCCCAGAATTCCTGAAAGAGAGGCAGGGAAGTATGCAATATGATAGATATGGGTTCTGACAATATCTATATATGCTCTTCGTTTATTTTCTTGTCTGAAGAAGCTATCTGGGAAATTCCAAAAACATATATGTGTGTGTGTAACATAAAACCAATGACTTGCATTGGTGTAAACTTTATTTATTTACAGCACCCAACTGAACAGCATTTTGAAGTTGCACCTAAGAATCAGCATCCACATTCTGAAATATCAGCTGGCCCTCCAAATGCAGTGAAGTGATGACACTGAAATCCATACAGAAACTGAAATTCCATTTGCAGGCATAACAACTTTTCTAAATACAAGATAAGAACAGGGAAAAATTATGACTCTATACTATCTACTGGCCCTAGGTGGTGATGCCAAGTTATAAGACAATCTTGGGACAAACTGTAGGTTGTGCCTTAATCCAGTTCAGCTGCTGTGTGAAACATGATGAACACACCAAGTATTTGGAGAGTATCAAACTGCTGGGAGGTTCCAGCCCTTTCAATCTCCCCAACATGGACAGCAAGGAGTGTTAATACCACTTTACAATGCCTTGGTAAGGCCACACTTGGAATACTCCATCCAGTTTTGGTCACCACGATGTAGAAAAGATATTGAGACTCTAGAAAGAGTACAGAGAAGAGCAACAAAGATGATTAGGGGACTGGAGGCTAAAACATACAAGGAACGGTTGCTGGAATTGGGTATGTCTAGTTTAATGAAGAGAAAGACGAGGGGTGACATGATAGCAGTGTTCCAATATCTCAGGGGTTGCCACAAAGAAGAGGGTGTCAAGCTATTCTCCAAAGCATCTGAAGGCAGGACAAGAAGCAACAGATGGCAACTAACCAAAGAGAGAAGCAACCTAGAACTAAGGAGACATTTCCTGACGGTTGGAACAATTAATCAGTGGAACAATCTGCCTCCAGAAACTGTGAATGCTCCAACACTGGAAGTTTTTAAGAAGAGACTGGACAGCCATTTGTCTGAAATGGTATAGGGTTGGACTAGATGACCTCCAGAGTCCCTTTCAACTTTATTACTAGTACTACTACTACTACTACTATTATTACTATTATTATTATTGCTATTATTACTATTGCTATTATTATTATTATTGCTATTATTATTATTATTATTAATCTTCAGCAGCCATCTGGAAAAGAAAACTATCCCAAAACCGTCAACCATACAAAAATAATAATTATTTATTTATCCCTAAAGAAGACCCAGACATCTGGTTCTGATGAGATTCCAACAAAAATGGAAGAATGCTACATCTACTGCAACCAGATTGCCCAAACAGCTGAAACACTCAAGAAGATGGTACGTACAGTAGTTTTACTAACTTCTACCACAGCGGTTGTCAACCTGTGGGTCGCGATCCCTTTTTGGGTCGAATGACCGTTTCATAGGGGTCGCCTAAGACCATTAGAAAACACATATTTCCGATGGTCTTAGGAACCGAGACAACACTCCGCCTGGCCTCCTCCGCCATTTGCAGAGAGGGAGAGAGAGACAGAGAGGCACTTTCGCTTTCCTTCTCTCTCTCTCTCAGGCAGACTTACCTCCTGCAGGGCTCCTGATTGGCCCTGGCCTGGGTGCCCCACCTCCTGGGAGAAGCGCGGCCAGGGCCTCGTAGCCTTGGAGCCGCCCAGGGAAGCCCCGGGATCCCTGTTGGGAGCGGCCCGCTGGAGGCTCCGCTGAGTGGGCCAACCCTCCTGCAAGCGCGGCCCAAGGGAGACCAGCCCCTGCAATCCCCAGCCAGCCCGACCATTGGACCTGCTGGCCAGGAAGGCGCGCCGGAGTCCAGGCTGCCGGGAAGGAAGAAGGAGATTTAGCAAAGGCAGGAGAGGAAAGCCGCCTCCTGGGGCCCAGCGCTGGCGGTAGCTTCCTTGCCATCCTCTTCCTCCTCCCCTTCTTCCTCCTACTGCCCCCAAGGTGGCTCGGGCGGGCGCAGGGGCAAGAGGGGTGCCTGGGGGGGAGCAGCCAGACTGGACGAGGGGCTGGCGGGCTGCACGGCACCAGCCCCCACCATGGCTCTATCAGATGGATGAAGGGCAAGGCCAGGCAGCAGGGGGGCGGCGGCAGCGGTTTTCTCACCCTTGTCCTCTCCTTCTTCCTCCTGCTGCCCCCAAGGCGGCTCGGGCGGGCACCAGGAGGAAGAGGGGTGCCTGGGGGGGAGCAGCCGGGCTGGTGGGCCGCACGGCCCCAGCCCCCACCGCGGCTCCAGTGAGGAGGACCAGGCTGGGCAGCACGGGGGCGACGGGGACCCCCGATGATGCAGCAGTGGCCGCCACTGCCATCGTCCCCACGCTGCCCAGCCTTGTCCTTCGTCCATCAATGGAGCCGTGGTGCGGGCTGGTGCCATGCGGCCCGCCAGCCCCTCCGCCAGCCCGGCTGCTCTCCCCAGGCACCCCTCTTCCGGCTCCCACCCAAGCCGCTTTGGGGGCAGCAGGAGGAAGGAGGGGAGAAGGGCGAGAAAACCGCTGCCGCCGCTGCCGGCTGAGCTGCGGCACCGACCTGGTCTCCATGCCTCCTGATTGCCCGGCCGCGCTCCGCCCCCGGCCGCCCTCCGCACCGCGCAGGAGTGTCCCCCACACCGCCCAGCCCGCTTCCCATGGGGCTGCCGGGCAGAGTGGCTCCTTCCCGGCTTGCCGGGCTAAGGGGCCTCGGAAGCAGCCAGGGGGCAGGGAAGAGGGTGAGGCAGCAGCGATGCCTGCATGTGCGTCGGAGGCCAGCCGGCTGGGTCGGGAGGGGAGAAGCGGCGCCTTCCAAGCAGAAGCTGGTGCTCTGGCCACACCTCTCTCGCGTGCAATGGGCTGCGCGGCGTGGAAAGGGGCTCCTGCGACCCTGCCGCTGCAATGGCTGGAGGGGCAGGCAGGTCCCGGGGGGCAGCTGGGAGAGGGCAAGAGGTGCCGGGATGAGGATGGGGGGCTCCAGGTTGGTGGGTGTGAGAGGGCAGCCGGTGGCTCCGAGGCACGCGGATCGTCCACGTGACTTCCGAGGCCCTGGAGGTGCCGCCGCTTGGCTCTCCACCAGAGCCTCCCCCCTCCCCAGGCAATTGTGCGGAGCTGCTTGTGCGTCCTTGGCAGCGCCTCCCCCCTTCAATCTCCTCCCTTCTCAATCTTCTTCCTTTCCCCTTCAATCTTCTTTCCTTCCTTCTATCTTCATCCCTTCCCCTTCAATCTCTCTCCTTCCTTCCTTCCTTCCTTCCTTCCTTCCTTCCCCCTTCAATCTCCTTCCTTCTCCATCTCCTTCCTTTCCCCTTCAATCTTCCTTCCTTTCCCCTTCAATCTTCCTTCCTTCCTTCCTTCCTTCCTTCCTTCCTTCCATCTCCATCCCTTCTCCTTCAATCTTTCTCCTTCCTTCCTTCCTTCCTTCCTTCCTTCCTTCCTTCCCCCTTCAATCTCCTTCCTTCTCCATCTCCTTCCTTTCCCTTTCAATCTTCCTTCCTTCCTTCCTTCCCCTTCCCTCCCTCCCAACATTTTTGAGCAAGGAAGAGTAAGCTTCTCCATCGAGTATTGCTATATTGTTTTTGTGATTAATCACTATGCTTTAATTATGTTCAATTCGTAACAATGAAAATACACCCTGCATATCAGATATTTACATTACGATTCATAACAGTAGCAAAATTACAGTTATGAAATAGCAACAAAAATAATTTTATGGTTGGGGGTCACCACAACATGAGGAACTGTATTAAGGGGTCGCAGCATTAGAAAGATTAAGAACCACTGTTCTACCATCTTCAGTCTCAATGACAAAGTGGAATTTACTACAGGCCAGCTACAACTTGTACATGCTCAATCTAGATCTTCTAAATGTTTTTAAGTCCTTATTTCACTTAGATTTACAGACAGACTTTTGTGACTGAGGAATTGAAAACAAAAGCAAGAATTTTAAAGTAGCAGCTAACTATTTTGTTAACATTTACTTATTTGGCAGGAGCACAGCGTCTACAATGGAACTATGGCTAGCAGCTGTCAGACTTTAAGCAAATATTAGTGCTCAAGAAATTGATTTGTGGGAAATCAGCCCCCCCCAGAGAAGGAAATATTAAAAGGACAAAATATATTTCTTCAAAGGATCTCAAAGAGGCAGAAAAGCATGTCCAGTTTTTTTTTTTTTTAATAGCTCCAAGTCTCCCTCCCATAAGCAGAAACCAGCTCTGTAGAAATGCAGATGCAAATAATCCAGGAACGTTGGAGCCCTCCAGGTAGAAGCTTAGGAAGACAAAGAGACCTAAAATCTACATACACTACCCAAACTCTAAGATAGGACATAATAGGATTCACCCACAGATGCCAAAGGGGCACACTCAGACTCAGGTCAAAATACATGACACAGGAAATACAAAGTCTCAAACAGGAACAGGAAATAACCTCATCAGCCCCAGAGGGTATAAAAACCCACTCCCTACATGTGCTCTCTCTCTTTTCTTCCAGAGCCATCTTTCTGTCTGGCTCTCCTCTTCAATAAAGCAGTCACCATGTTGTTTATTCCCAGCTTGGACTGAACCATGATGAAGAATTTTTCTTCAACAGTTTCTTTTCATGTTTTTTGAATCAATTTGTGTCCCACATCCATCACATCTGGGCTACTCTATGAACACCTAATTCAAGTGGCTTTCTTATTATATTTGCTTAAAACATCAATGTTCTCATTTGTCTGTATTTTTACCAACCATACAACTCTGTGCAAGATAAAAAAAAAAATCATGTCATAAAGAGCAAATTCTTATTCATATGAAGAATTCTGCAACATTAAGGGGTTGTCTCAACATCAACTATCAAAATTGGACTTGCTTCCATCTTACTTTGTTTCAGTGGAGTTCATCATGTTGTTTATTTCTGTCTAAACATATACTATTAAGTTTGAAAACCATAGTTTATGGCTTAGCACTGACATATGAATCAGTCACTAATGTATTCAGAAAACCATGATCAAAACAAAACAAACCATAGCTTAGTATTGTGGGAAGAATCCAGAAAAATAAATATTTTGGGAAATATTAAAAAGGCAGAATATATTTATCCAAAGGAATAATAGAGAAGATCTTAAAGACAGAAAAGCGAGCCCGGTTTTCTTAATAGCTCCATGCAGAAACTAGGCAGAGGCCAGCCTTTAGAAATGCAAATTCAATAATCCATTCAGGAAGGTTGGGGTCAGGAAGCTAGAAGCTATGAGATTAGGAAGACAAAGACCTCTAAAATCTATATACCTCAGCCAAACTCTAAAAGACATGACCTTTGGGAACATAATAGGATTAACCCACCAATACCAGAAGGGCACACTCAAGACTCAGGTCAAAGTACATGAGACAGGAAATACAAAGCCTCAAACAGGAAACCTCAAAAGCCCCAGAAGGTATAAAAACCTACCACTCCCAGCAACATGTGGTCAGCTTTCCCACAGCCATGTTTCTGTCTGGCTCTGCTCTTCAATAAACTCCATAAACTTCTTTCTAAAGCAGTCTCCCCTTTGTTTATTCCCAGCTTGGACTGGACCCCGATGAAGAATTTTCTTTCAACAGTATAATGTATAATCCCAATTTCTCTCTCTCTTTCTCACACATACACACACACTAGAATTACAAGTTATCACAGTCGTCTAATTAATATTGATCACCTAAAGCTTCTTCATCTTCTAGAATAAGATATTCACTTTTCCAACAAGGCAGCAAAACATAAGAATTCTGAATATGCACAGGACCTCTAATATCTAAGACCTGCTTCATATTTTATGAAGCATCAAGATTCTTTTCAACATTTTGTAGGAAGACAGATGATTTATTTTAACTTAGTATTACTTTACTACTTTATTACTATCACTTTTACAGTATCATTTCTATTTTCAATTTTAAAGTTTTATGTTTTCAATTCAAAACAGCTAAATGCAGAGTATTGATTTACCTATTATTTTAGTACCAATACCAATTATTTTTCTTAGTGTTAAGAGGAGATATGTTCATTCTCATACAAAAAAAAATCCACCAATATTTTATCACAGCAGATGAAATCATTGTTTCTGCATATTCACAGTTGGCTTCACTTACTTTATTTTAAAGTATTGGCTTTGTTTTTGCATATTTATGATAAGGAGCTGAAGCATGAAAAAGGTGATACAAATATTTTTAATAAGGCAAAAAAGAAATGGAATCCAAAGGAATCTGGTATTCTTTTCCAACTTTTCTTTTCTAACTAGCAAGTTTTACTATAAGGCATAAGGTCATAACCTTCATCTGTCTGCTACCATAGATTCTCCTCCTACAAAGAAACCAGGAAGATATTACTGTACTCAGAACAGAGTGGCTCCCCACCCTGGCCATAAACTATTTCCTCTGTTACTGCCATTGCTGTCTGTGTATATTTTCATTATTGCAAGAGCTACATGTTACATCATTTAGAAAAAAAATCTTAGGAACTCCGAAGTGGGTTCCATCTCATATTAAAATCCATTAAGAATGTGATTGACACAAAATACATTAAATATCATCGGATGAAAGCCACTGATAATTAATAAAACTTGCTTTTGAGTTCATAAACAACATTTTTTTGCAAGTCACAATATAGTACAGGTTTACTTCCTTATTTTAAGCAATCGGCAGCACTTTCTTCCAATACAGAACCACTCACTTGTAAACCTTTCATTCCTAATAAAATAGTAGTATTTCTGCAAAGCCTGTTTATTAACCTTTGCCTACAACACTGAGAAAATTAAAAATTAAAATAATTAACAAAACTTGGCCCCGCACCCTGAACCGAAGCCTGCCAGTCCTAGAAGCAGGAAATGTTTCGCAAACGTTAGGACTATTTTAGTTTTCTGAGACAACTTCAGGTAATCATTACAGCTGCGGAAGAGGTCTAATTTTACCCATTTTATTTTTGTATCAAACGATCTCCATCTGGAGTCATGTCACCGGTTTTGGTCGCTTTATTTCGGGGACCTTTTGTGGGAATCGCCACTTTAATACCACGAGTTCATCACAGAAGCCTACGGAGGTGACCAAAAATTTGAGGCACGTGCCGAGCCACACTTCGGGGCGCCGCCAAGTCTCGCTCCCGCTCTGCATCGGAGAGGTTATCGTTAGGGGGCACTACAACCTGCCTCGGTAAATACCGGCAAGCAGCCCCATCCCCATACACTGATTCTGCACACAAGGAGGCAACCTTAGGCCCTGAATCCTCAGTCCCTCGTGGACGACCCGCTCGACAAGTTCCGCCCTGAGCGGGAAGGGAGGGAACCATGACGGCGGCGTTACGCATCGCCGCTCTGACACCTACATCCCCGTTCAAGGACACTGCAGCGGGCTGCCAGCGGGCCGGTTCTTTCGGCTATTCCGTCGCCTGCCGAGCCGCCCCGGCAAGTGACGGAGCTCATTCCCGAGACACAAACCAGCCAAGGCAGGTGCGCGCGTTCCGCGGCATTCCAGCTGCAGGCCGCGGGGCTGCCACCTCGCCTGACCCGCGCCTTACCTTTTTGACCTGATCATCCTTTAATTCGGTGAAATAATAGGCCAGCAGCTGAGCAGCGATCATCCTGCAATCTGAGGGGAGTCCCAGGCGGCTTTGCCAGACAGAAGCCCCGAGAGAGAAGGCAACCCAGAAGCTGGGCGGGGGAGGATGGAGAAGGAGGCGCGCCGCTTCCCGGCTCTCTGACCACGAGAAGGAAAAAAAAGACCACAGAGGTCCCGTCCTCAACCCCGCCGGGGGAAAAAACGATGCTCCTTTCTCTGCCTTTCCTCCACGCGAGAGTGACTAAGTCGAAAACCTGCCCCCTTCCTGCGCTGCCATTGGCTGAGCCGGGCGAGATGGCCAGGCAGGGCTGGCAAAGAAACCTCGCCGGCTGGCGGACCCCCGTCGCCTCCTTCTCTCAGCAGGAAGGGGAGGAGGGCCCTCCGGCCATCCCCGAAAAGGGATCCCTTCCCGCACGTCCCGCACGTCCGCTAGCCTTCCCGAGGCATCCGGAGATCTTGCCTCGACCTCCCTAGGGAGGAGATTAAGCCGCGAGGCAGAGGCGGTTCCCGCTCTCCTGCGCTCTTCCCGCTCCGGAAGAAGCCAGGCCCGCGCGTAAAAACGCTTCTTGAACTCGCAAGGGAAGGTTTGGGGAGGGGGGTAAAAAAACACACCCCGGCGCGTTTCTGGATCGCTGCACAGACCCGGTGGGTCAAAAAAAATGCGGGATGCCTTTGGGAAGAGGGAAAAACGTGACAAAACGGACCGTCCCGACCCTGGGAAGGATCTGAGGTGATCTCTTGTTTTGTGTGGGGATCCTCGGCGCGCGCTTTGGATCCCAGGCCAGGGGGGCACGGCGAGTGGTAGGGAGAAGCAGGGAAAATCGCTGTGTGAGACGCCTTGGGAGCCGGAGTAGAAATCTAATAAAAATCTAAAATGTTGCTCACAGATAATAAGCTACCTCTGTAAAGATGCGGACCTATCCACTTCTTATTCCATTTTCATCCCACCATTTGAGGCATGCATGCACTAGATTTCTACCCACAGCTGTTTTGAATCAGATATAAATGTGCTGTGTCATAGTAGCGATACTGATGTGTATTTCTAGGAGTCTGGTAGCATCTTTTCTGGCTAACATGGTTTATTAAAAGGCATGATCTTTCCTGAATAGCAACTCTTGGTAGCTTACGTTTTTTAACACAAAGTCAGAAAAGGTGCTACCCGGTGCCTGATTTTTTTTTTAACTACGGTAGACTTAACATCTCTCCTTTTACTGTTCCTGTAGAGAGGATTTCTTAGCCCTGAGCTAAAGTGGGAAAGAAATAGAATAACATAGAATAAAGAAGAATAAAGTATAATAATAATAATAATAATAATAATAATGAAAAATCACTAAAAGCAAAAATCATGTGTCTGCATAATCTCTGAAAGAAAGCTGTGTTAGCAAAAGCTGTATTAACAGTACGTGAATGACCTAATGCATATTTAGAAACATTGTATAAAAGTAAAAACTGCCTTCATTGTATTCCCATGAGAAATGGACCTAACGTGTGAGAAACTATTTGAATGTTACACAAAAGTAGATTCCATATACAATGTAAGATTCCATCTATGCTTCCTTTGTTCCTGAGAGAAAGAAACCTATAAAGCTTTAGTTTAGACCCTCCCCCCTTGTTCAGAAATTTGCTGATTGTTAAATCACTTCTGAACCTTTTTGCGCAAAAATAAAGATCTCTCTTTCACCCATGGAATTTCGTATATTTTTTAAGGCTTTATTTTTCCACAAGATTTATGGCGATTTCTCCGCCGGGACATTTTTAAGGGCTTTTAAGAAAAAGGATTTAACCTTCCAAGACGGATTGCCCTGGTGGGCCCCCCCCCTCTCCTAAACGACGACAGCTCCAAAGCCGGCTTCGTAGCTTTTGACTACGAGGAGACTTCGACGGGAGGAAAGGGAATTAACCCATCAGGAAACATTCCAGTCTGAGGATCCATGAGGGTGACAGACAGATCTTAAATCAACAAAGGAGTCTGGAAAACGCCTGCAGGCAAGTATTGTAAAACAGGGGAAACCTGATCCCTTTTGGATCGGAAGAGGGGACTGATCACCCCCTAGAAGGCAATGGTGGCGTCCTTAAGCCTTCAATAGGCAGGATTGTGTGGGAGGTTAAACCATTGTAGCTCATGCTGAGTGATCGATGGTAGTGTATTAGAGAAATGGGTGGGAAAAAGTCAAAGGAGAGCATTGACCAGACGCCACTCCAGTGCATGTTAAAGAATTTCAAAAAGAGTTTTTCTAGGGATTATGGAGATCCAAAACCAAATCCAGCCATGTTAAAAAGATTCTGTGAATCTGAGTGGACTGCCCTGGGCGTAGGGTGGCCAAAAATGGGATCGGCGAATCCCGAACTCGTTGCACGGGTTCATCAAATTGTGACTGGAAATGTTTATTGGGACCAGTACCCCTATGGAAAATCAACATTGCACAGAGACCCAGATGGTTAGCAAAATGTCAGATAGAGTATGCAAAGATATATTTGGCAAGCCAAAAAGCCAAGCCTCAAACAAAAGCTAAGATTTTCAGCCAGGAAGATAGGGAGGAAATTGCCAGACCACCCCCCTACGTTCCTAGAAGAGAAGAAGGGAGAATAAATCAGAAAATTCCACTCCCTCTGCCTGAAAGAGAAGCCCAATTTCAGCCAGAAGCCGGTGAGGAAGAAAAATTAGCAACAGCTGAATCCCTTCAAGAAACAGATAAAAGCTTGAATAACTTTGAAAGTGAAACCTCAGTTTCTAGCCGTACCAGAAGCAAGTTAGAAATAAAAACAGAAGAAAATATTGCCCCTCTAAGAGAGGTGTTGGTTCCTGGACCAGATAACACTAATATTTCAATGCTTCAATATGTTCCGTAACTGTGACAGGGAGGAGGAACGCAAATCAGATCAAAAAGAAAAAAAAAAGAAAGTTGAAATGTTAGCCGTGGCATTGGGAGGAACATGCCTAGGACCCAATCAGTGTGCCATCTGTAAACAAGAAAGACACTGGCAAAGGGAGAGCCCCCAGAGGAATGGCCAACCCAGGGGACAATCTCGCCAATATGGAAGAGGAAGAGGATTTAGAGGGACTTTCCAGAGAGGCTTCAGAAAGAGCTTCAAAGGAAGAGGGCATCCAGTTTATCCCAATCAGACAGAGGAAAGAGAAGAAAACATGATCGGCTTAGCTGACATGGAATGGGAAGACTGAAGAGGACAGGGTTCTATCGCCCCACCCCCAGAGCCCATTGTTAAAATAAGGGTGGGAGGACAGGTTGTCCCGATGCTAGTTGACACGGGAGCCACCAGATCTGTCCTAAATAAATCTATTGGCAAGCAATCAAATCCTTGTGGTAGCCGTATATTTAAAAATTCGCCAACGTGCTTTAGTCAAGCCCTAGCCCAAGATTTTGCTTATCTGAAGTTATTGAGACAAGAGGATTGTTGCCTTCAATATGTCGATGATGTCTTAGTAACTGGCCAAAGCAGGGAGGATTGCTTTGAAAACAAGTCCAGACTGCTCCAATTGTTACAAGACTGTGGTTATAGAGCATCCAAAAAGAAAGCACAATTAATTCAAGAGACTGTAATGTATTTAGGCTATGAACTTTCACAAGGACAAAGAACTTTGGGCCCCCAGAGAAAGCAAGCTGTGTTACAGATTCCCATCCCACAAACAAAACAGGAAGTTAGAGCCTTTTTGGGAATTACAGGCTTCTGTAGAATTTGGATTCCTAACTTCGCTCTCACAGCTAAACCATTGTACCAAGTTTTAAGGGGACCAGAAAAAGAACCTCTTTTGTGGCAAGAGGAACAAACCCAAGCAATGAGACAATTGCAACAGGCTCTCACCACAGCCCCTGCCCTAGGACTACCTGATATATCTAAGCCTTTTTCACTTTATGTGGATGTAAGACAAAATGTAGCTTTAGGGGTCCTTACCCAAAAACAGGGAAGTTGGAACCGCCCTGTCGCTTATCTGTCAAAACACCTGGACATTTCTTCACAAGGCTGGCCCCAGTGTTTAAAAATTCTAGCAGCAGTTATGCTATTACTGCAGGAGGCAAACAAGTTAACCTTTTCAGCTCCAGTGACTGTTTATACTAGTCATGCCTTGCAGACAATCATTGACAATAAAGGACATTTATGGATAAGTAATCAACGAATGCATAAAATACAGGCTCTTTTATTAGAAAATCCACAAGTTACACTGCAACAATGTTCAACTTTAAACCCAGCAACTCTAATGCCAATTCCTGATTCAACCAAACCTGTTCATGACTGCATGCAAACAATAGAACTACAATATTCTTGCAGACCTGACCTTACAGACCAACCCTTGCATAATCCAGACTATCAATGGTTTACTGATGGTTCTAGCTTTATGGATAAAGGATGTAGATACTCTGGTTACGCAATAGTTTCTCAAACTTCTACTGTTGAATCAGCACAGTTGCCTAGTCAAGCCAGTTCACAGTTTGCAGAATTATATGCCTTGACCCGTGCATTAGAAGTAGCAGCGGGAAGGACTTTAAATGTATATACAGATAGTAAATATGCATTTTTGACAATACACGCACATGCGGCTATCTACAAAGAGAGAGGATATTTGGATTCCACAGGCAAAGTTATCCAATATGCAACTTTGATTAAAAGACTTATCAAGGCAGCACAATTGCCATCCAAAGTTGCAATCATCCATTGTCCTGGACATCAAAAAGACTCAAGCCTTATTACCCAGGGCAATAGGAAGGCAGACAAAGAAGCAAAAAGAGCTGCATTAGAAGGTCCCCCTCTCCAATCAGATGTCACAAGGTTCATGTATCTAGACACTTACTTAGAACAACTTGATCCTACATATACGAGGGAGGAAACTCAAAAATTACAACAAGATGTACAAGCCAAACTAGTTAAAGGCTGGTACACTTTACCTGATGGACGCATTGCTGTCCCTTTGGCACTTGCTCGCCCACTTATTTTTCAGGCACACAAGCAACATCATTTGGGAAAAACTGCATTATTACAGCAACTTGAACGATATTTTATATTCCATTTGCTTCTTCGCTAATAGCGGATGTTTGTTCTCAATGTACCATTTGTGCCCAAACCAATGCACGCCAAGGACCAGTAATACCACCTGGCAGACAACCAATCGCTTATTTTCCTATGGACTATGTTGTTGTTGATTTTACTGACATGCCTAGAAGTAAGAAATATGTAGCATTGTTAGTAATAATTGATACCTATTCAGGATGGATTGAAGCATTTCCAACTGTAAATAAGAAAGCTATACAGGTTGCCAGAATATTTCTTAAAGAAATTATTCCTAGATTTGGTTGCCCTTCTAGGATTTCATCAGATAATGGCCCTGAATTTGTACACCAAATCAATCAGGCTTTAGCCCAAGCATTAGGAATTAAATGGAGATTTCATTGTGCTTTCCGCCCCCAATCGGCTGCTAGAGTGGAAAGATCCCATAGAACAATTAAAACACTTATTACCAAATTTTGTTTGGAAACTCATCTACACTGGCCAGATGTTTTGCCTATGGTTTTGTATGCAATCAGACTGGCCCCCCGCACTAAATTACAACTTAGTCCTTATGAGCTCATGTTTGGCCGTCCTCCTTGCCTGTTTAAACCTGACAGTCAAGGATGGCCCGATTTGGCACATAAGGGGGGGGGGGGTAGATCAACAGAAATCGTTACATCAGTTACAGCTTCATAATTTGGCCGTTTCAAAATTGCGCCATTATATGATGGAACAACAACCCCCTCCAGTGGTTACAGCAACACATGGGTTCAAGCCTGGAGATAGAGTGTGGGTAAAGCACTGGAAATCAGATCCCTTGAGCCCAAGATGGAAAGGACCGTATA